TCAATGACCTGGACGAGGGCACAGAGTGCACCCTGAGCAAGTTTGCAGATGACACCAAGCTGGGTGGAGTGGCCGACACTCCGGAGGGCTGTGCTGTCATCCAGAGGGACCTGGACAGGCTGGTGAGTTGGGCAGAGAGGAACCTCATGAGGTTCAATAAGGACAAGTGCAGGGTCCTGCACCTGGCAAGGAATAACCCCAGGCACCAGTACAGATTAGGGATTGACCTGCTGGAAAGCACCTCCACAGAGAGGGACCTGGGAGTCCTGGTTGACACCAAGTTAACCATGAGTGAGCAGTGTGCCCTCGTGGCCAAGAAGGCCAATGGGATCCTGGCCTGCATCAGGAGGAGTGTTACCAGCAGGTCAAGGGAGGTGATTCTGCCCCTCTACTCAGCTCTGGTGGGGCTGCACYTGGAGTACTGTGTGCAATTCTGGGCTCCCCAGTATAAGAGGGACATAGTTGCTCTTCGCTGGACCCTCTCGAGAAGCTCTAAGATGATTAAGGGACTGGAATATCTCTCGTACGAGGAGAGGCTGAGTGAGCTGGGCCTGTTTTCTCTGGAGAAGAGAAGGCTGAGAGGGGATATGACTAATATGTATAAGTTCAGGAAGGGAGAATGCAGGGAGGAAGGGGATAGGCTGTTTTCATTGGTGGACAGCGACAGGACGAGGGGTAATGGCCATAAACTGGAGCACAGGAAGTTCCATCTCCAGGTGAGGAGCAACTTCTTCACTGTGAGGGTGACAGAGCAGTGGAACAGGCTGCCCAGGGAGGTTGTGGAGTCTCCTTCTCTGGAGATCTTCAAAACCCACCCGGATGCCACTCTGTGCCACATGCTGTAGGTGTGCCTGCTTGAGCAGGAAGGTTAGACTAGATGATCTCTAGAGGTCCCTTCCAACCTTGAATATTCTGTGATTCTGTGATCTCCCTCCAGACTTGCAATCCCTTCATCTAATGTCCGATTCTAGGTACTTTGGGCCAGTCAGCTGATGTATCGACACCAGTTGTCAAGCTGACCCAAGGTTACTCAACACATCCTTGCTGTGGTACCAGAGAAGGTAAGTTGCTGGTCATAACAGAATGTCTAATGAGGACTCACAGTCGTTGATGCCTCTTTTATCAACGGTCCCRTTGTGGAAGAACTAATGAGAAGCATCATAGTATCACTTGTCATTTTCCTAGGTGCCAGAGGTTCACAGTTGAATTGGAAAAAAGTCCCCTCAGAAGCACAAAGATGGCAGCATGTGGAGTACAGTCCTGACTTTAAGACCAAGAGCAGCCTCTCTCAGCACAAGAGACTTATGTACACAGTTACAAGGAACCTGGAATGGACTGAGGAATCTCACTCAAAGGGACAAAGTTTTTAAAGTATGCATAAGGGGTGCTGGACTGAGGAGGAAACCGCAGTTATTGAACTTGAACAGAAGTTTAAGAACATGCATTCTACTAATGAGCCAATCAGGCCAATCAGAGCATTTGCCTGTGAAAATGGCAAAACAGATCTGTGATACGAGAAGACACAGTCGCTGACAACAAAGGCATCTTCAGTGCGGGAAGGGAACACTGAGTTGGAAAGAGTGAAAGGAGTGAAGCTGGAATATAGGAGGAGAATTGGACAACAGATCAGGAACTCTGATCACTCGGGTATTSTTCCAGAGGATCCTGGAAGGCTTGGAAGACACACTCCCAAGATCCTCATCAGTATGGTGGAGGAGCTGACATCCCAGGTGGCTGAGAAGCTTGTTCCAATCAGAATAACGTACCACTAAAAACATCCAACCAAGCCTGCACCTGCAAGAGAGGAGAGGAGACGGATGAAGCACTGGGTGCTCAAAGGCAGTCAATAYCCCTGGTACCAGAGGCTTTTTTGAATTAGATGGTAGAAAGCTAGCTGGTATCATATTGGATWAAACTGAAGCACTAAGGTGCCCCATTCTGCTTAAGGAGTTATATGATTCCTTTAAAAGGAAATGTGAATGAGGTGCCCCCTTTTCTAGTCTGGGTGCTTTTCAAAGCTGTGGAACCACCAACACCACTGCATTCAAGTCAATGATCTTCCTCACAGAAGTCCAGAATGCTCTGCCCCAGGGCCCAACAGCCTGACCTTGASGGATATTTCTAGAGTAGACCCTCAGGACATCCAATTGGCTGAACTGTTCAATGTGTGGCTGGTGACCAGAAGGACCTCCAGTGAAGTGAAAGGATACCAAACTATATTAATACTTAAGTTGATCGACCCATGAAAGCTGGAGGACATTGACAATTGGTAGCCCCTTACCATTGGGTCAGTTATACTGAGCTTGTCCTCCAGGATTTTAACAGCAAGGCTGCGAGGTGCATGCCAAATTAACATTGGGTGAATGACAGGTGGGATTGATTGTGACCTCTGGCTTTTTGGAAAATCTAAAGCTCTTCCAGGTGTTAATGAAACATACAAAGAAACATCAAAGGACTCTGGGAGCTGTCTTCATTGATTTCACAAAAAGCCTTTGACTCAGTACACATTGCCATATATCCCAGATTCTCTATCAAAAGGGTGTAGATGGCCATATTATTGACATAATACAAAATCTATATAAGCACTGTGGAACCTACCTTGAGGTAGGTGGGATGTTCTCCTAGAATACAAAGACCCTCAGTGGGGTGAAACAAGGTGATCCAATGTTTCCAATCCTGTTCAATCTTGCATTAGATCATCTATTGTGCAGTTTAGAGAGATTGAAAGCAGGTTTTAGATAAGCAGGTTTTAGATAAGATGACCAGCTAATAACATCTCCAGCCTTTCAGACAATTTTGTTCTGTCAAGTGATTCCTGGGATGGCATGACAAGAAGTATTGGTTTGGTGGAAGAACTTTGTTGACTTATCAGATAGAGGGTGCAAGCTCTTAAGTGTCATTGGTTTCAGATYAGGCCTACAAAGGACTTGTGTACCATCAGCAGTTGTGAACTGTGGAAGACTACCCGGGGGAAATTGAACATGATAGATCCAGGTAGTTCTGAGAAATATTTAGGCCTGGGAGAAGACCCATGGGTGAGTCTCTCTAAACCAGAACTACAAGAGAAGCTTCCCTGATATTCTTCACCCAGAAGGCAAGTCCCATTAAAAGCCCCCCCCCACTCTTCCCCACCCTGCCAAGATTGCTGATCATATGGGTGTTAGTGTTACATACCTCCACTCCTTGGATCTTGCCRAAAGATTAGTGGTAAAACGTTGGTTGCATTTAATATTGAGCACTGTGATGCCATCCTGTATGCCATCTCYAGTGATGGTAGACTGGGTATCACCTGCTTGGCGAGTCAAATTCTGAGTATGCAGGCTCATAGGCTTTAACAGATCATCCACTCTGAGGATGAGGTCACCAGGAACGTTGTGCTCCACAAGAGGATCCAGGAGGAGTTGCTGAARGTGTGGATCCCTGCCAGAGGGTGATCAGACAAGTACCATCAGTTACGCAGGAACTTCCAGCAATCTCAATGGCTCTGGTGGGTGGAGAGACCTCCTCCAAATGGGAGATGACAACTGCCAGGACCTTCTAGCCAGTTCCATGTAAGAGAAAGATAACTGAAAAATTGGGCCAATCTTAAAACCCAGGGCTGCATAATTAAGAACTTTGGAAACGATAAATGTACTAAAAATTGGCTAGTACACTATGAAAGCATTCCCCACTTAGAGTTAGATTACAGTTATTAATTTTATGTCAATAGCTATCCCATCTGGGAATATTTGCTATGAGGGTTGAGAGAAGGTACACCAAAGGGATGAAGACATTGCCCTGCTGAGTAAGAAACTTGTTCCCGTGTAATTGGATAYTACTTTGCAGCCCAGGATGTGACTGCAAGGCATAACATCTTGTGTAGTAGCTGAAGAGGTCAAACAGTTAGGGTAGGAGATATACAGAACCCCACCTTAGGGATAACAACAATGAGCTCTTCAAGACAGATTTGATGACATTTAAAGCGTGCTCAGGTGGACACACTCGAGCAGGGCGAGCGAGGCACCCCCAGTCCCAGGTGGCGTAGGCGCAGYGGGGGTGGASTCGGCAGGGTAAGGCGGTGGATTAAAAAGCTGTAACACCAACTTTTCAGCTCATTCCACTTTTCTAGCTCATCCTCGTAGGTGATGGCTTTGGAGTGGAGGCTCGCGCCGTGAGACCTACCCGAGAGGAGCTAAACCRGYGGTGCCAAGCCACGYAGTGCAGCGCACGCACCCGAGCGAGGGGAGTGAGGCACCCCTAGCCTCAGGCGGCCCAGGTGCAGCGGGGATGGAATCTGCAGGGTAAGGCGGCCTGAGCCCCCGCCTAAAAGAGCCACCCCCAGGGAGCGCGGTGAACAGAGAGGGCAAACAGAGCGTGGTGCGGTAGTTAGCGCAGTTAGGGCGGGCAGCGACCACCTCCCTGGCGCACCCACGATGGCAATCACCCGCCAGAGGGCTGTGTTAGCACCCGCTAAGAAAGAGATAGGTACCCAGGATGCCACCYTGTGCCACGTGCTCTAGGTGTGCCTGCTTGAGTGGGAAGGTTGGACTAGATGATCTCTAGAGGTCCCTTCCAACCTTGAATATTCTGTGATTCTGTAAAGAAATCTGTGAAAAGGACATTAATCCACCTTCATAGCAAAACRTAATAATCTTGAGAGACACAGCAACAGAAAAAGCAAAGAAGTATCAGTATTTGGAGGAACAAGCTCAAGAACTAAAATCAGTGAATGATGTTGAATTCTTGGGTTTCCCTATAGCAGCATGAGGGAAATAGTACAGCAGCAATGAGATCGTTGGGATCTCTGATAGCCGCCTTAGGCGGCTAGAGTGACACTTCTCCCAAACAGAGCTTTCCTATCCTCCATTGAYATTTTACACAGTTTCATCAGTAAAGGTAGGAATTTTTAATTTCTTATTTCTAATATAGACTATCAAGATCTAGTCCATTTTCAGAAGGCAACAGGAAAATTCTTCACACAGACAATGGAGCTTGCTCTGTCTTCTGTAGCTGTTGAGTTTTGCTATTGCTCTGCTTCCTTGTGGTTGAGCTTATGGCTGAGACAGCTACTTCTCATCCCAAATGATGGTTATGACACCATCAGTCATAAACCTACAGCATTTGTGCTAACAATACCCAATGCTTTGRTATTCACCATATATCCAGTCACTGCACTGGATTAAATCACAATCTAACTGTACACTGTCTGTTAGAAGACAGAGTATGGGCCCAACAAAAYCAAAACAAATGGCAAAATGTTGACATGGATGCATGCACTGCATGAGAACAACAAGGATGTATTTGTGAAAGTAACACCATAAATACTGAAGACATCTGTGTTGATGCACAACAAAATATTTCTCATTTTGAAATACACCCTGAGGAAATTGCTAAGACTGTATTTGTATATATAGGAAATGAGTGTGTTTGAGAATCCTTTGTGAYTTATATTTGTAGATAATATTACTGTAAATGCAAGCAATCACTCAAATACAGCAAGGTCAAGGGAGGTGATTCTGCCCCTCTACTCAGCTCTGGTGAGGCCACACCTGGAGTACTGGGTGCAGTTCTGGGTTCCCCAGTATAAGAGGGGTGTGGAGCTCCTAGAGAGGATCCAGTGGAGAGCAACTAAGATGATTAAGGGACTGGAACATCTCTCGTACGAGGAGAGACTGAGTGAGTTGGGCCTGTTTTCCCTGGAGAAGAGAAGGCTGAGAGGGGATCTGATTAACATGTTTAAGTTCATGAAGGGAGAATGCAGAGAAGAAGGGGACAAGCTCTTCTCACTAGTGGCCAGCGATAGGACAAGGGGAAATGGGCATAAGCTGCATCACAGGAAGTTCCATCTCCAGGTGAGGAGGAACTTCTTTACTGTTAGGGTGACAGAGCAGTGGAACAGGCTGCCCAGGGGGGTTGTGGAGTCTCCTTCTCTGGAGGTCTTCAAAACCCGCCTGGATGSCACCCTGTGCCACATGCTGTAGGTGTGCCTGCTTGAGCAGGAAGGTTGGTCTAGATAATCTCTAGAGGTCCCTTCCAACCTTGAATATTCTGTGATTCTGTGAAATATTTGTGTTTGTAACTTTAGTGAAATTATGGGATGTGACTTTAACTATTCAACCATTTTACTTCCATCCATTCAACCTYACATTTGAGCAGAACAAAGAAGTCTGTGTCTCTACAAATAAGGGATTATTCCATATCCTTAGGYGAGTGGGGACAAAAGAGTACATGCAGGGAGGTTGTGCTATGCATATGTGACTGAGTACAGCTGATCTCAGGGGAGAACAGGAGAGGGTCAGAGAGATCAGGATAGGTGTGCTGGGAAGTTTGTAGTTTCTGAGTACCTYAGCCAATGGKGAAAAGGAGAGGTCATATCTCAGGAAACAAGGATGAAAGGAGGCTGCATCCTCCAGCGATTTTGAAAGACCCTACAGTGCTATGCCCTGATAGACTCTCCATTTATTCTAAYGACRTTTTAGGRCTCCTCTGTCTCCTTTGTGGTCATTTGGTTCTTAACAGAGATTTTCTGCACAACTGGAGACTTGTCTGGGATCCTTTTACCTTTGTGGATGACAGACAGYGAACAGGGTTGATGGTGCACCTCACTGAAACTTTCAATGATCAACTCCCTTTGGCAGCGGCTGGTACCAGGTGACTGATTGGRTTCTCAAGACTGTCTGGAGATAGACGAGTGGTGGATCAAGGAGATCTGCACGTAGGACCAAGGGGTCTCAAGCAGGTCTGAAGAAGAGAACCACTGAAATACCACCAGTGAGTACTATGGTGACAATGGGGAGCAAACAAGGAAGGACACTTGGGGAGCAGAGTAAAGGGTACAGGCAAAAAGGATGATGACCACGGCATACTTCTGARTAGTCCCATGGGGAGAGTGTTAGGGTTTTGTGATGGCTTGCATGTTCCCCAAGAAATAACCAAGGAGACTTACTCCAAAGAGTAACGTATGGACACCCAGGGAGGGCAGTAAAAGATAAGCTACRAGAGTGATTTACAGGGCCTGCACTAGGGTTGGATGATGATCCTAGTCTGTAAGGTTTTCTGTCTGTCTGTCTGGATGCCACCCTGTGCCACATGCTCTAGGTGTCCCTGCTTGAGCGGGAAGATTGGACTAGATGATCTCTAGAGGTCCCTTCCAAACTTTATGATTCTGTGCTTCTGTAAATTTAATGCATATGTAGATAATAGAGAAAGAAAAGTATTAGCAAACACACCTTTGTGTTAGCAAACACACCAAGGCCCTGTTCAAGGTGGCAGGACAACCCTTCCCCAGCCCACCTCACCCCCACCAGTCACCATGTTCAACAGGTATGAGGCCCTGGACTTTGGGGAGGARTCAGACAAGGACATGAACCAAGGCCCAGCTAAGGGGCTGTCAGCTGAGAGATAGTCAGCTCCACACCCTGAGGCTGCTCTCCTGAAGGAGAAAAAGAACACTCAGAAGAAGCAGCGGGCGATTGCCGTAGGTGACTCCCTGCTGCAGGGCATGGAGGCACCCATCTGCAGACCCGATCCCTTATCCAGGGAGATCTGCTGCTTGCCAGGGGCTCGAGTAAGGGCTGTTACAGAGAGGCTTCCTCGGATGGCCCAAAACGCCAACTATTATTCCTTGCTGCTGTTTCATGTGGGTGCTAATGATGCCACGGGGAAACTGTCTGAAATTAAGCGAGATTACAGAGCCCTAGGGGTGGCTGTAAAAGGCATGGGAGCCCAGGTAGTGTTCTACTCCATCCTTCCAATGAGGGGAACGGATTCAAGAAGGCGAAAATGGATATTTGAGGTCAATAACTGGCTGCGCCGCTGGTGTTGGCAACAGGGTTTTGGCTTCTATGACCACAGGACTCTGTTTGATGACCACCAGCTAGTGGAGCATGATGGGAACCACCTCAGCAAGAAGGGCAGGTGTGTGTTTGCCAAAAGACTGGCCAGTCTCATTAGGAGAGCTTTAAACTAAGCAAGAAGAGGGAGGGGTAATGTCACATGGACAGGGTGTAAGAGACAGTTTTAAGAGACAGTTTTGGACTGTGTTTGTCTCGACATTGTTGCCTTGTTGCTGCATCATTTAGCTTGGAAGAYCAGGACATCAGCTCAAGACCCAAACAGTGGCATTCTTGGTTGATG